ACCTCAGTTGATAGTGGAGGGTAAAGTATCATAAACATAAATATCAATTTGGGATGTCCAAGGGGTAACTCTCCTACTCATGGTTCCCCTTTATTGCCTTGTTGTTGTCCCTGCTGACTCTGCTGCCTTCCCTTCTGTGCAGCCTGGAGTTCACTCAACACACTCCACAATTAGAGGCAAAGAGTTGGAACTTGTCGAGAGGAACATGCCCAAGAAAGCACAGTATAATTTACCCTGATTATAAAATGCATTCCATTCCACACTTGTTTTGACATTGGCCCTTGGAGAGAAATATTTTGCTTTATAATGAGGTCTTATTGTTGCTTTCCTTGTCAGGAAAAGGGTTGCTCCAAAAGTGTTCAAACCAAATCAAAGTGATCCAAACCCTACAATAGAAGAGTCTCTGAAAGTCCTTCTAGATCCAAATACTACAGCTGAGGTTTAACTGGTTAGGTGGTTCCAAAGCCACAGAAGACTGAGGCAAAGACTGTGGACAAGAGCTGCAAGTCAATGTAGTCCTTCCTAGTCTAGCAAAGAAGAGAATAGGAATACAGAAGATCAAGTCCAGATAGGAATTGTATGAGACATTAACACAGTTCTGGGTGAACAGACAAGAAAGAAGTGAACAGGAATCAGCAATATTAGTGCAAAGAGTTGGGCTGTCTTGGCAAAAGGACACTGAGGTTGAGCCAGATCCCAAGTGTGATCTCCATCCACACCAGTTGTACTTCCCTGCCCAGAGAGTTGCACTGGTTCTGTAGTGACTGACACCAGTTTACATTTCTCAGTGTCAATAATGTGTTGCTGGTTTATAGCTCAGAGTGTGAAAGGGATTTTGGGCAATGGGGTTGCAGCCCTGAGCTACAGAACCACAGAGCAATGTGGACAGAGAGCCAGGACATACTGAAATTAAGCATGTGCTGAGTTGTTCTCCTAAATTTCGTTCCTGAAATGAACTTTAGCTATCGACAATTTGCAGAAGTAGTTTAGAGTTTGGGTTATTTTGCCCCATTAGTTAAAGTCATCACTGACACAGCTATGAATTCCGTGTCTGGTTGTGGAGCACAAAGATCCTTCTCAGTCTGGAAGGAGACAAACCTGAAGACATTATCTGTCAGCTCATCAGAGCAGTGAAAGGTGTATGAGACTGACTCAGAACATGCTAGGGAACAGCCAAGTGAACAGAACATAGATCAAACCTGCCAGGTTGGCAGGCAGCAAAACTGGCATTCTTCATCCATAAAAATCCCACAGAGCAGTTGGCTCCAACTTTGTCTATACAATTCCCACCAACACGCCTAAAGCCTGAACACAATTAACTTCCTTTTGGATAGGCAAACCTCCTTCACTTCCTTGTTGAGAAAGACTATGTGGAGGCCAATGAATTCCATCTACTTTGTGCTCCAACTCCCTTCCTCTGGGGAGTAACTGTGAGAAATGAGAACAGGGAAGTAGTGTTGAAGTGAAAATTGTGAATGAGCAAATTTCAAAGCAGCAAAGAGCTGCACTGAATGGATCCAGTGCAGGCAAAGGTTCCAGAGACATTCATTAATCCCAGAGGCATCAGGTTGAGAATCAAGCTCTGAAACACCATGGAGAAGAAAAGCCATGTGGGTTTCTTCATGTGGAAGCCTGGTTTGGTCACTCATTATCTGTGTAGTTTGATAATTACCTATTTCCTAAGTAAATTGCTTTGGACATTTACTCTGAGGTAGCACATTAATGAAGTTCTTTGCAAACTTCAGGAACTTCAAATTCTCCAAAGCTTCCTGAACACAATTTTCCAGGTCAGTGGTGATGGTACTTTTAGGGATCCAACAGACAGCACAAAGTTGTACCTCAGCCTGTGTAGAGTTAGCCAAAACCTTCCTCACTGCAATACCTGTACAGATATTTGAGTTCACTCCGTTTCAATAGCAGAGAGAATGAGCAATGCAGTAAGTCTGAACCTGGATTTACTATACAGAAGCAATAAAGGATTTCGAAAGAGCTGATAATGAGGCTGTCAAGGTCAGTTCAGCTAGATAACAGCTCTTCTCTTTGGTTGTCTTTACAAGTTAAACTCTCAGGACATTTGTGAGCAATGTGATATGCCTGGAATTGAACAGAGTGGGATTGAACAAAGTGGAACTGAACAAACTCTTTCTGTTAACACTTGTTTCATATTGGCACAACTCTCTTGGCTCCAATGCAGTAAGACTAGTTTTTACAGCTATAAGAAGAGGCTTGGGGTGTGTTTTTGTACAATAGCACAAGCTCCCAAAGCTCCCTAGGGATTGATCTCCCAGCCCACCCTCCCCAGGCTCAGGGACACTGTGGTCCCAACTGCCAGACTGGGCAAGGGGGAATGGGTTCAGGTTGAAGGAGGGGAAATTTAGGGTAGATATCAGGAAGAAGTTTTCCCTGTGAGGGTGGTGAGACACTGGCACAGATTGCCCAGGGAGGCTGTGGTTGCCCCAACCCTGGCAGTGTTCATTCCAGGTTGGATGAGCCTTGAGCAACCTGCTCTGGTGGGAGGTGTCCCTGCCCAGGGCAGGGGGTTGGGACTAGATGATCTCTAAGCTCCATCCCAACTCCTAAAATTCTATGATCTTATGATCAGTTTTAGCATCAAAAACTTCAATGTCTCTAAGTTTCACATGGCAATATGATGTTCAGAAAAGCTCCATCCTCACAATGCTGTGTGAGTCCTCTTACAGCATCAATCCCTCAGCCTTCTCCTGTGCCATGAAAGACAAGATATTTGTAATGCTATGAAGAGTTTATAATAAATGATGGATGACACTTTATAGAAAAAAAAATAGAAGTCTTTATTTCATGACAAAATTGACTATGACCAAATTGAGCAGAAAGATTCAGGTAATGCACAAGTTGCTTTACACATTGTCATGCAGTGACATTTACATGTCTGAGGATAACAAACCAACAGAACACAGGAGACAGACCAACAAATACTAAGAACTTGCATCATTTCAGAAGGTAAAAAAATAAAACAAACCATTTGTGGTTCTGTGTATCTAAAGCTGTACTAGAAACTGTATAATGGAAAAAAACTAGTGACCATGAGAGCTAACAGTGTTAAATGCAGGGCAGTGACAATTTCAACCTTTAGATGCTGCAGTTTCCACAAGAAATAGACCTTTTGGAAAAGTTTAGGATCTTTATTTCCTGTGAAATTGTCCTTTAAGACATATATTTTGTGTTATTCACCTAATGAAGTAACTATCCTGTTAGGATAATCTGCATTTCATAGTGGCAGAACCCATAGGATTCCAGTGGTTCCATTGCTGGATTAGGCCTTTCCATGCAATAAAAGGCCACTCAGGTTTGGCAATAAAGGTGGGATGTGCAGGAATTGGAGGCAGGAAAGTCTCATGGGTGAGAGTAGAGTATGTGCCAGGCACAGGATTGCAACTGTTCCCTCCAAGCACTGTGCAGGCAGAGGAGTAAGTCCTGCTGGATCCCTTTGTCCTTATTTCCCTTGGATTAAAGCAGTGGATAACACCAGGGAAATAGCTTCTTTAATTATCCTGATTTTCAAGCCCTGTTTTACCCTTTTTACAGACTTCTATCTCCCTTCTCAGTTTCATTCATGGCACTGGTAATTTGGTAAGGACTAAACTCCATTCCAACCCCTAAAATTCTATGATTCTAACAGGGCCAGTTCAGTTGGGACTGAATCCAGACTGGAATTCAGCCCTTTCCTTTGCTGAACAGCTCGAGGCTCTCACAATTTCACTGGGCACTACCAAGAACATAACACTGCACATAACACTCCACAGCTCATTATCAAAGCTCCATCCTGTCCAGTCCCACAGCTGCACAAAATCACTGCATTTCCATAGGTACATGAATGCTGATGGTATTTTTCTTTCCTTTTACCATTGCTAAGTCCAGCTGAGCTAACTAACCCCATTTTTCCCAAGAAAACAGGCTGGAAGCTTGTCTTGGTACTATTTCTAGCTCAGCAGTTGTTCAAGGGATGTGTTGCAATGCTTCACTGGTTAGTGGAGGCTCAGCAGC